CGTCATGGCTGGGGGTGGGATCAGGTCAGAATAAACCTGGCATAAACCTCGCTCTGCATCGAGTTTGGCTGTGCTGTGCAGGTAAGCACCCAACAACGCGTGCTCATGCCCATGGGCATGCATAAGCACTCCCACTCGCACGAATGCACACATTGCAGTGCTGAGTCCCCGCACAGCCACCCTCCCGGGGCACCCACCAGGGCCGTGCGCCCGTGCGCGTCTGTGTGCTGGCAGGCCGCGCCGTTCTGCAGGAGGAACTCCAGCAGGGCCACGTCACCCAGGGTGGCCGCCAGGTGCAGCACGGTCACGGTGCCGCACACACCGTGAGCTTCAGCGGTGCTGCCGCCGCCGCCGCCGCCGCCGCCGCGGCCCCATGCAGCTGCAGCCGCCGCAACAATTCCGCCGCTGCCACTGCCGTCGCCGCTCGCACGGCCCCCGCTGCTGCTTGTGCCGTGACTGCTGGCGCCCCCGCCACTGCCACTGCCGCCGCGATCCAGCGCCGCCGCGCGCCCAGCCGCATCAGATACAAGCCGCTGCGCGCGCGGTGTGCGGTACGCCGCCGCCACGTCGGCGCCAGCCGCCAGCGCCGCCAGCGCGGCGCGCACGTCGCGGCCCGCCACCGCGTCCCACAGCCGCGAGGCCGCCTGCTCCCGCGGCAGCGGCGTCACAAACGCGCGCGCCACGTACTTGTCCTGGATGAAGCGCGCCTTGTCAGACAGCGGGGCGGTGGGCGCGGGCTTGGGGGGAGCTGCCGCGGCGGCGGCGGCGGACGAGGCGGCTGCGGCTGCGGCTGCAAGGCTGTCACCGTCGACCATCACCTGGCGGGGTTGAAGAGGGGGGGCACCAGGGTCAGGGGCATGAGAGTGGTTGGGTGGATGGGGGTGGTGTCGAGGCTCTTGTGGGGCAGACCAAGCGTGCAGTGGGGGGGGGGAGGCAGGAGTCAGCGGCATGCCACTCAGTAACAGGGGCAGATATCCTCTTGCGCATACAACCCTGCTCGAGCGCTTCAAGCAGCCAGAACCACTGCAGCGCAGGCGGCCCCTCCTGCGTAGAACCCGTCCACAAGGCCGGGCCACCCCACCTGCCGCCGGCCCGACGCGCTGCCGCGCGGCCCCCGCGCCCCTCCTCCCGCCCGTCCCTCCTCATCCTCCCCGCCAGAGTCGTCGTCGCACCACACCCAGCTGTCCGCCGCGCGCGCCGCCGCCGCCTCGGTCCCGCCGCCGCCCGCCGCCGCGCTGCCTGCCGCCGTGGCTGCGGCCGCGCCGCTCGCTGGCATGCCTGCCTCCCAGACCTTGTTTGAGGCGTCGTTCCCCACCGCCTGGAACACCGCAATCACCGCCGGCTCCCAGACCTTGACGTCCAGCGTGCAGCTGCGCACCTTGGACACCTGCACCCCCAGCTGCCGGTGCACGCCGCTGCACTCGATGCACAGCAGGACGCCCAGGTTGAGGCTCGCCCAGTCCGGGTCCTGCGCGCCGCAGTCCGCGCAGCGGCGGTTGCCCGCCACCTGGCGCAGACGCTCCAGAGGCCCCGACGACGATGCAGTGCCGCCGCTGCCGCCGCCACCTGCGGCGCCGTGCGCGCCCGTCCCGCCGCTGACGCGGCTGGCGGCGCCGAGTCGCGATGGCGCGCGCGGGTGGCTCAGCACGTCGCCGCCGCCAGCCGCGCCATGGCCGCCGTCGCCCTCGCTGCCGCTGCCGTCGCCGCTGGGGATGCCGGGCAGGGTCCCAGCAAGCGGGGTGCCGGGCTGGCTGCTGGCGGGTGTCAGGGGGAACCCGCCAGACGACGTGCCGCCGCCACCGCCGCCGCCAGCACGGCCGCCCGCGTGGGCCGCCACTGCGCCGCCGCTCGCGCTGGCGGCGGCGTGTGCAGCAAAGTCTGCCACGACGTCAGCCTGGCTGCTGGTGCGGCTGTGGGTGGGGCGCACGGGGACGCGCGGCAGTGCGTCCATGTCTATGGCCCCGTTGAGGAGGCAGTTGATGACAGCCTTTGCGGAGGGGCGGCGGGGGCAGTGCTGTGAGTGGGAGCGGACTGGAGGGGATGGATTGGCAAGTATGTGCATGCAGCGGTTCAACAATCGATTGACAGCAAATGTGCTGAATGGGTGTTGAAAGCCACAAGGTTGGAAGCCGCAAGCTTGCCCTGCCCAGACCGCCTGTGCACCTGCAGCGCCGCGATCCAGTCAGCGCGCTCAAACTCTGTCTCGGCCTGCAGTGTGTAGGTGCCCTCCGGGCTCACCACCCTGCACAGCAGCAGGGGAGGGGGGGGGGAGGGAGGGGACAAGATGACACACGAGGCTGACGAGGCGGCGTGTACGCGATGTGGCGATCAATCACCCACATCAAGCGTGGCCGCCCAGGCGCAAAGGCCGGCTGCCCAGCAGAGGCCACCTGCACAAGAGCCCCTTGCAAAGCGCGGCCCAGGCAGGCGAGCGGGGTGCGTGTGCACCTGAATGCGCAGCGCACTGCGGGGTCGTCCGCGTCCATCTTGACGGTGGAGGTGAGCAGCGGCAGCGTGTTCTTGGGGCGCACGCTGCGGCTGAGCTGCATCAGGCTATCGGCCTGGGGG